TCTCAGGCTTCTGGACAAAAGCTCTACAGAGCTGCCCTGTCAGCAGCTTTTTAAACTTGTCAAATATTTCTGGAAATTTTGTTTTTTTCCTTTTTTGCACTTAGCATTCAACCCCACTGACATTCTGCAGAAAAGAAGAAAATAATTTTTAGTTATTTTGTTTTGGAATCAGACAGCTATTTAAAGCCAGATTGGAAGCAGACTTTAAAAGGCTAGATAGGGGAGTTAAAACAAAAGAGAAAGGACAATGTGAAGTGGTTCCTTTAACACATCCTTACTAGGCAGTAAGTGATAATGTGGAAGAACACCAATCAAGTAGGATACCTTCCAGACATCCTCATAAAGTCAAGAGAAAACATCTGCTGCCCACCCACTAACAGGGTAGAGTGCATAGCCCCTTTTTGTCTCCAGATGTCTCCAAGAAAGATAACATTGGTTATGGTCTGAGACTGAGAAATGCTTGTACTGTTGAATCAGATAAAAAAAATTAAATTATACATTAACAAAAAAATTCGCAATAGCATATGGCCTAGAAGGATACAGGAAGAAAACAGTGAGAACAAAAATCACTTAAACAAATTCAGCAAAATGATGACTGGTGAAGAAGACATCATTTGCCAAAGTGACAGAATTGGGTCTATTTGGGACTATTCTCTCCAGAGACATCTGGTATCTCACCAAATTACTTCATGCTTTTGAAGCTCTAAAACAGCAAAGGGAACTGCCTTTGACTACAAAAGAAAGTAGTGATTATAGTTGCAAATGCAATACATAGGATATATTCCAAAATAAATGAGATCTCTAACCAAAGAGAAAACATAAAACAACAGTAAAAATTATGTGGTACATGAGCTCTTCTCCCTGTTCACTGTGCCCTGCAGAGGCTCTGGGTGATGGCTGGCATTCCAGGACCGTGCCCTTTGTTAGGCAGGAGGTCAGTGTGCCTTCAAAGCTCATTGTTTGGGGCTGCAGCTGTTTCCCACCAGCCAGGGCACAACCTGCAACCAGTGTAGGACTTCAAGCTACCTGCTCTAGGTGTGTTCTGCAACAAGTCTGTGGGCTTGTTGCAAGGCCCACACATGGGAGACCAGAGTGCAGAAGGAGACATCATCACAAGTACCACACAAAGCCTTTGTTTAGGGCCGACTCAATGATTGATATACACAGAACACTTTTGATAATCCTCCCTTTTGGAAGGTGTACCAAAAGCTCTCTGTCATGTATACCAAAATTCTGTGTAGCAAAAAGCCCCCAACCCAATCCAAACAAAAAAAAAAAAAAAATCCCAAACAAAACCACCCCCCCCACCCCCAAGCTAACAAAACCAAAACCAACCAACCAGAAAAAAGTAATAGCCCCAAAAACCCCACCCAAACCTAAATCAAACAACAAAAAAATAGAGTTGCAAATAAAAAACAAATCTAAAGCACTGAATCAAATGCTGAGGAAATGAACACGGAACAGTATTTTTTAAAGAAAACCAAGGTTGGTAGGGAGCAACTTGAAGCAGTTTCTCAGCAAGAATTTGAATTTCAGTTTTGGAGATATCTGTGTAACTAAGTAGCATGAACAATAAACCTTTAAAAGTAAAGATTTTTGAAAATATATTAATTTAATTTTGCTTGAGTTTAGTCTGTGACACCAAGATTTATGGCAAGCACAGGAAATATTTTGTCATACAGTTATGGAAACATTGGTTTTGCCATTTCACTGATAATGGTCCTATGTTTGTTGTCTTTTACATTGAATTCCTCAAATGTCACAGTGAAGCATTTGTACAGATGGTGATGTCAGACTTACTGAAATAAGTCTTGTTCTGGTACACTTGATAGCTATTAAGGTGCTTCAGTTGCTTCTGATGTCAGTCAAAAACAGCGAGTAACATTGCATCTGCGTAAACACAGTGTCCTCTGAATGTCCTAGCAGCCTGTCTAGTTTCTGTGGAAAGCTCTCTGGAGCTTGCTCACCTTAAGAGTTTATATCCCGCTGCCTACGAGCAGATTACAAGCACAATTTTTTAAATAACCAAATTGCTCTTAGTCATCAACCTACAGTAAAAATTTTTCCTAATTAGCTGGTGTCCCTATCCGTGAATGAACTGCAAGTCCTAGGAGCAGCACCCGGACTCCATTTTGAGTTATTCTGCCCTAAATGTCACACCGTATAATGCACTGTACTGAATGTTAATGAAAACTGTGTGTAACCTAGCAACCTAATGGGAAACACAGCTGTGAAATACGAGTTCGTTACCCTGTTGAACGGCTCAGGCCGCCTGGCTTTGGCTACTGCTGTATATCAAAACGTCTCCCTACCTGTGGAGCTCCTACATCGCGTGCTTTGCTGACGGAAAGCTGAAGCAGTGCCTGCTTTCTTCTAGCACTGCGTCGTTGGCTTTTGGTTTGTTTTATGGGTTTGGGGTTTAGGTTTTTTTTTTTTTGTTTGTGTTTGGTTTTGTTTCTTGGTTTTTTGGGGGTTTTGTTTGTTTGTTTGTTTGTTTGTTTGGGTTTTTTAGGGGTTTTTTAAGGTTTTTTTTCTGCCTTTGTTTCTGTTTTTGTTTGTTTGTTTTTCTTCAGGAAAGGGAAGCGGTACTCTCTTGCGCGGTACTGTTGCTATGTAACACCCCCGCCGCCGCGACGGCCGGGCGCGGCCATTTTGAACGCGGGCGGGAGGGCCGTGGGGCGGCGGCCAATCGGGGGCCAGGCTCGCGCGTCACGCGGCGGCCGCTCCAACGGCGCCGGGCCCAGGCGCGGGGTGCGGGAACGGCGCTCACTGCCGGGTAACAACGGGTAGCGGTGCGCAGTGCCCAGTGACGGCGGGTTGAGGTGCGCAGTGCCCGGTGACGGCGGGTAACGCTGCGCAGTGCCGGGTGACGGCGGGTAACGGTGCGCAGCGCCGATTAGCGGCGCCTAACAGCGGTAACGGCGGGCCCGCGGCGCAGAGGCGGAGCGGGGTGCCCGCGGAGCGAGCCGTAGTCGGTTCCGGGAAGATGGGGCCGTCAGGGCCAGGGGTGGCGAGGCCGTTGTGGGCGCGGGAGCGACCCTGCTGATGTCTTTTGCCGGCCGCCTCTGGCGAGAGCCTTCGAGGTGGTGGCGGACAGCCCAGCCCCCTGTTGATGCCCGCTCAGTGGTGTGCGGTCTGAAGTGATTCCCTGATTCGGTGTCGGTCTTGAGTCGGTGTAACATAAAAGCTCCGCTGTTATTACCCCGGTGTTAACCGTAGCTGTCAGTCGCTGGGTGCTGTGTTACATCCTTAACGCAGTTGTGCACCAGGTCCTGTGACGGGTGCCTGGCCCCGGCATGGCCCCAGACCGCGCTTGGCAAGGCGCGCCCGCCCAGGGTGAGCTCGGCTCGGCCTCCCCGTGTGCCCCGCAGGTTGGCATTGGCCGTGGCTGCTGCTGGCAGTGCTCCTGGGTGCCGTTTGCCCGCCCTGTGTACATTTAGCCAGCTGGTTATTTTAATCGCTACAAACTCACAGGTTCCAGAAAACTCCTAACATGGAGCTAGATTTTTCAGTTTTACTGTGTGCTGTATATTTCTCGTAATTTTTGGCCAGCTAGTGTGATTTCTTGGATCCGTATTGAGTAGATAGGTATCGTCTGTATACATTCTCAGAACCACTCAAGTCAAAGGTAGTATCAGGTTGCTTGCACCTTCAGTGCAGAAGAGTTCAAATTTATATAGTTTTCCTTTTGGAAAGCTTTTGGGTCTGATTAGTTTGTTCTTTTTGTCTCTTCCTACAAGTGGGTTAAACTTCAGTGGTAGGGCCAGGAGCTCCATTCTTCAGTTAGAGGTGGGGTGTTAAGATGTTGCAGTGAAAGCCTCCATGAAAAGAATATTGCTTAAGCTCTGGAGAAAAAAGGCTAATATTTTGCACATTTATGCATTACCAGAAGCCATTGGTGCCTTAAACGTGATGGTCATTTTCCAAACCCAAAGTGTAAGATTATAATTCAGTAATTTCTGTTCCTGTGGCCACAGTGTGGTCATTAAATGCTAGTAAATCGGAGCTAAAAAAAGATAAAAGTGTGTGGAGGAACTGGATTATTAGAATTAATATCTTACTATATTTCCAGTCATTTAGATGCTAACAATATATTATTTTTCTAAATTATGCTTTTACAAATGGCTGTCCTCACGTGTCCAGTATAACTTGTCTTAATTTGACATACAGAATATTTGAGAAGGTTGGTTAATGCTTCTAGTCTGTGACAAATAAGAAAAAAAGTTTGCAATGTGTGATATCCTGTGTGGAATACTTAATGTTGTCCTGAAAATAAATAAATAAATAAATAAATGCATCTTCTAAATATACTGACAAGTGTCCCTATTGAGACAGTAGAATTACTTAACTCTTAATAGCTATGTCATAGCAGTATTTAGAGATTCTGTTTGGAAGTTAGTAGTGTTATTCTCTGTGGGTACTAAAGTATAACAAAACCTTATGCCTGAAAAGTGCTTAGTGAATTTTACTGGGATATGTATATCCAGTATGCAATAGCAAAGATATTTAGGAAATCAAATTTTATTATGTATGATGATAATTTAGACTTAACTGAAGTAGCAGAGAAGTTCACCACTGGCTCCGTGTGTTTCCCTTGATGGTGGGTCAGGGAGTGTCCAAGGCTTTTGGGCAGACCTTGATGCTACAAAGTTAAATCTTAAGATGAAAGCAAGATCTCTACAACAGTCAGTGCTTAAAGATCTGGGCTTTTGTGTTCTTGTTATACCTGTTAGAGTGAGGAGAATAAAAATACAAATCAGTTGTTTTTTGGCGTTTGGGATTTTTTTCCCTAGCCCTTTTACTCATGCAACTTTACTTGCGCAGGTAGTAAGCATCATAAGACATAAGGTTTTTAGCTACACATTAAAGATTAGTAAATGCTGGAGAATATCCAGGAACATTTTCATGTTTTGAATATGTGTGTTGGATTGGCACTGTGATGCAAGATAGTTATATATTGAAAGAAAAGTTTATGGCTTTTTTCCTCTTTCTTATTTTAGGGAGAAATTTAGCACATAAAAGAAATGATTGAGTCAGTCAAATTAAGAAGGCAGTGCATGCTGGATTTCTTCTCGCATTATGAACATCTTTGTGAGCTTCAAGGCTCTCTCCCTCTGAAAGCTGTGAAGGCTAACGTGACTCGTGATGCTATTGATCTCATTGTGGATCACATCAAAGCTACTGATTGGGCACCACTTCTGGATGCTCTCAGGCATAATAAGACTTTGGCTTCTATTAAAATGAGAAGTTTACATCAACATGGTCTTGAAGAATCAGGTCTGTATAAAAGATAAGTATGTTGAGGTATGCATGTTAAAACTTGTTGCATAAAACATCTGCATGATTGAATACATGGAGGGAGGAATTATGCCTAAGGAATTGCTATAATTTAAGAAAGTACAAAAAACAAGGAAGATATGATTATAATTGCTTTTAAGCCAATACAGACTGGATTTTACTGATGTATGGTTTTTATTTTTCACTAGGTGTTGAAAGATGCAAAACTTACTTTAGAAGGAGAATTCCAGCAACTCTGCCAAAAGACTTGACTGGCCAACTGTGCAAAGCTGTGAAAGGCTGTCTCAGTATATCAGATGTACTAAAACATTTAGAACTGCAGGGTTTGCTTCTGAGGGAAAGAGACCTAGCACTTTTAACAAAGGTGGGAATATAATAGTATGTACAAATACATAGTACATATAGTACAAAATATACAAATTGCCCAGAACAGAGAATAGTAGCAACTAATCTCTGCATGTATTTGTTGCATGCAAAGATATCTTACGTAGTCTTTACATATACATAAAGAATGATTCTGCTGAGACTTTCAGCATGACCTGGTCTTAACTGAATGTCTCAGAAACACAAGGCTTACTAGAAAGATCTTAGCAACATCTCTGCCATGTGCTTGAGGCGTACGACATAGATTTATGACTGAAACCACTGTGCATGTATGTGGTAGAAAGGAAGTTGTGGGACACCACGGAGATAGAAATTGATCCTTTGATGTATTACTGGAAAGCTCCAGTTTGCACATGACTGACTTATGGGGGGGGTTGCTGCTGGTTGCCCACAGACAAGCTTCCTCTGCAAGCTAAAGAAATGAACACACTTAAACTGAAGGTGAATGTTTGCTGGTTTTGACCTTTGTTTGAATCCCCTAGAGTTTCTTGTAAGGAATAGAGGATGAGTGGTTTGGTCTTTTTTTTTTTTTTGTTTTTTCTTTCTTCTTTTCAACCAAGTAACAACGTTGTTTGTATTATTTTTCAGGGCTTGGCCACAGCTTCATCTCTGGAAAATGTCTCTTTAGCCCACTGTCCAATTGGAGATGGAGGGTTGGAAAGTAAGTTCAGAATCAAAACCTGTAAATATACTTTTCTCTTTTAAGTTTCCAAATAGGTGCGCAAAATTTTCAGTATTTCCATTCCTGTTTTAAATTTGTCTATGGAGATTATAAGAACAATCTTTACTTTATTCTGCATAACTCAGTAGCATTTAAAGACTTGAATTTCTTCACTTCAGGCTAGTAAATACATATACTACTTTATAGTGATGTTTATACTTTTATCTAAAACAGCATTTGTATTTCTTTACCCTTTCCTGATTTGTTTAAGCTTCTATAAGTAAATTGAAATCAAATATTTTCTAACTTGTTCGGATATTCTTTGCTGAACATTTGCACTAGAAATGTATGAATTTAGAACACATTAATTGTATTGAAAATATAGTCTGTATTTCAACACTAGTTCTTTGTCAAAGCTTTTGGCTCTTAAAGCTGTCTCTTAATAGGCTGATGAAAAAGCATGTTCTGATAATGTGGAAATGCTGTGTGTAGATAACGTGTGCTTTTGTTTTCTTCAGCAATCTGTCAGAGTATAAAGAATACAGCTACTATCAGATTTCTTAACTTCACAGCATGTAGCCTCACGTGGCGAGGGGCAGAACATATCGCAAATTTATTAAAGGTAATTTAATCAACTTTCTTAGAATAGAGTGTTTGTAAGAACTTAATAAATTTAATTTTTTACTTCTGCTTTAAAGTCCAAAATCAGTTAAAGCACTTCATGAGGAGCTTGTGTGAATACCAAAATTAAGTGTATGTTCTTATGAAAGGTGTGAATTTGTATGACAAAAGTAGTTTAGTTTACTGGTGTGGAATTTAAATTTGCTATTTCTTAGAAAAAAACATAAATAATAAAGTATTTTCTTTAAATAAGGACTAGGCCTGTAAACATCTGACACCTGTTTTCAGGGTGTTTCTTTCATTGTCAATAATTTTGAAAAATGTCTCAAGTATTCTGAGTAAGAATAATCAAGTTTACAATTCAGAAGCTGCTGATTAAATGATCAGGAGATTTCTGCCTGGTACTGTGTTTTAATTAATATTAATTGTGATTTCTGTGAAAGCACAAAATTTTTGTAGTATGTATTTATTTCCTATTCAATCTACCTTGAAAGTGTCTGTCAAAAGAAGGTGATAAAATAATTTGCAGCAAGTTTAATAATTTGCTTTGCAAACTGGGCAGTCACAACAATTATGACTTAACAGTAAGGTTTAAAAATTAATTATGTTTCTTGAACTCAGGAATGGTGTACTTATACCAGCATATATTTCTTATACCAACATTCAAGCCATTGGACATGGTTTACAGAAAAAGGTAACTTGTCATCCTGTCCTCAATTATGGCTTTGCCATTTCACTTGTTAACAGCTTCTTTGTTTGCAAAGCACCAGGCAATAAGAAGACATGGTCAAGCTTGGGCTGACAGCCTACGTTACAGGAGACCTGACCTTGAATATATGACTGGTTTGAGGCGGATTACTTTCAACTGCAACATGCTTGTTGGAGATAGAGGAGCAAGTGCCTTTGCGGACTGTCTAGGAGAGGACCTTTGGCTAAAAGGTATTACTAAGTCTTTTACTAATGAGCAGCAGAGTAATTCAGGAGTTTCCTTACGTAGTAACTATAGACATACTAATGTATATGTAATGAGATATTCCATATAATGTGGCACTTGGTCTATACCAGCAAATTCCCGATATAGTGCATATCTGCTTGTTACTAGTTGCTGTAAGGATTTCAGCAGGATCTCCATATCTCTTTATCTCTACTAATATCTTTTCTACTATCTCTATATCTCACTACTGCATCTCTTAAAATATCGTAGTGGCAGGCAGAAGACTTAAAATTATCAGTTATAACAGTTGCAGCCAGAGGAGTAGCTTACTGTGTAGCTTGGGAAGAGTATTCTTTTTTTTTTCCCAAAGAAATTTCTCTTCCTCTTTTGAAGTATCTGAATACTGTTGTGTTATTTAGTATTGTCTGTCAGTATCTTTGAGAATGAATTTGTTCTGCAATATATGTATTGCTATACCTAGTAATTATACAAAATTACTAATAGTGCTGGTGTAAATCATAGCATTCTGTGTGTGGAATAAAATACCTGTTTTATAGTTTGGTTTTCTAGTTTGAGGCAGGTCTACAGATAACATCCATCCTGATGGAAGAGGATCAGATTAGAGAATACTTAAACTGGACAAATAGCCATCCATAGGCCCTAATGGGATGCGTTCACAAGTGCTGAGGGAGCTGGCTGATGTAATTTTGAGGTCACTCTCAGTAGCCTTTGAAAGGTCATGGTGATTTGGGAGAGTGTGCCTGAGGACTGGAGGAGGATAGCTAATGTCTTGCCTATTTTCAAGAAGTCTGGGAAGAAGGACTCAGGAAACTATAGTCTTTCTTGGATCCCTAGAAAGGCAAGGATGTGCTGCCATCTAGAGGGACCTCTGCTGTCTGGATAAATGAGCTGATGGGAACTTCATGGTGTTTAAGAAAAGGAAGTGCAAAGTCTGCACTTGGACAGGAATAATCTGTGCACTAGAACATGCAGGGACTGTGTGGCTGAAAAGCAGCTTTGCAGAAAGGGTGCTGCAGATCCTGGTGGACAGTAAGCTGTCCATGAAACAGTAAGGTGCCTTTGTGGCAGAGAGAGCCATTAGTGTTTTGGATGCATTAAGCAAAAACTTTTTGAGCAGGTTGAGGGAGGTGATTCTTCCTCTTTACTCAGCACAAGTGAGGCCATGGAATGCGCAGTACAGGAGGGAACTGGAGCTACTGGAGAGAGTCCAGTGAATTGCCTCTAAGATGAAGGGACTAAACCAGCTCCAATTTCAGAAAAGACTGAGAAAGATAGGACTCTGCCTTGGAGAAGAGAAGGCTCAGAGTGGAATCAAGGTGTCCAAATATCTGAAAGGAGGATGTAAAGGAAATGGAGACAGACTCTCTCCAGTGGTACCTGTGGACAAGGCAAGATGGAGTGGGTAGGGATGAAAACACTGGAGGTTTTTCCTCAACATGATGAAACCCTCTTACTTTGAGGATGACTGAACACTGCCACAGGTTGCCCACAGTGGTTGTAGGTTCATATTACCTCCTCTGCAGATGTTAACAGCTGTTTCTTAATGTTGAAAAGCGCTAGTTGTGATCTTTGAAAGCAATGCTCCGGTTTTTACACTTTTTTGATGACTGTTATCATCATGTCCTCAGTTCTCATGCTTCATTTTCTATGAAATGGAGGTTTTCAGCAGGATTACTTTTTTTAGACATTAACTATTAAATTAAATCACTAACTAAATGCTATACTACCTCTACTGATTTTTTTTTTCCCTCCTTAAACATTTTAGCGCTTGATTTGCAGCAGTGCGGAATATCCAGTGAAGGAGCAAGGTCATTATTAGATGCTCTTCAAACTAACACAACATTAGTGGTACTTGACGTAAGAAAAAATCCATTAATTGGTATGTATCTGTGTCTGTATTTATTCTCTTTGTGTGGTTGTTGGTCTTTTTTTCTTCTTAATTAACTATATGGGGAAAGGTAAACTACTTTCAAGAAAAAAAGAACATGCCATGATAATTTGCTAAATATTTTTAACATAAGAAAACAACCAGAATAGGTAATATCTACTTACTAGTCAATGATCTGTTTGTTCACAAAAAGAATTGTCTCTTACAGAAAATTTTTAAAACCGTGTTTTAATTAATTCTAGGTCATGGTCTAATGAAAAAGATAATTGAAAGAGTTCTCAAGAATGGAAGCAGTGCTGACTCAGAGGTGTGTTTTACACATTTTGGAATGAATTTGGGATTTTCTTTATAGCTTCCATTGCATTTATTTTTTTAAAGGATGACTTTTTTCAGAATGAATCTGAAACAGCTATTCTGGTTCTAAACAGAAGTTTGACTCAGTACAAATGAAAAAAAAAACCACTCTCTAGGGGGAAACCTAAAACCACTATAATGAACATGTTTCTGTATTTCTTTCCATGTATGATTTCTTATGGAATTAAAACTATCACACATAATAAAACCTGGATATCCATTTAATGGAAAGAAAAATGGAAATGTGTGTGTGTTTGGTTATTACCATAGAATATTAATTAAATGTTGCTCCAGGACTGCTGGAGGGCTTTCTACAACATATGTCCTTGTCAACATGGTAATAATAAATTCTAACTAAAAAGTAAAGGAAACCACAATTTGTAATTTGGCACTTAATTTATTTTAGAACTTATTTCTTGTCTCTAACTTCTGTAAACCAAAATTTTTAAAGTTGCTCAAGCCTGTCCTTTCAATGCAGACCATCTATGAAAACAGAGCTCAGTTTAAGTACATCATCCCCATTCATCTTGGTCTAACTGTCCACAGAGAGTTCACAGTAATGCACATAAACTGAATATCTAGACTGTTTATCATTAGGTATACTGTTCAAATATACAGAAATGTGATTCAGTTCTCAAAGAAGTCCCAGCAATCCCAGTTCTTGTGTTGGAATTTAATGCTCTTTTGGTTTTTGAAAAGACTAAATAAAGACAGAGCTGTGGATGTGTAGAGACTGTCAAATAAACTGAAAGTTTGTGTACAGAATTTCTGGAGGATTATTACAGTTCCCCACATCAATCTCTAGAAGACGTTTTTTGAGAAGTTGAGGTTGGTTGTGAAGAAGTACTCTTTCTGCTTGGCAGATGGGATTAAAATGTAGAAAATATCACAGGAATCATGTGAAAATAACATCTACCTGGAAATGCTAAAGATAATTGGAAAGCCAGACCATGGAAAGAAGCAACTCTGGGAAATCTCCCATGTACTAAAAGATTACTTGACTCAAGACTTTAGTTTTATATTCAACCAGTTAGTGTGGTATCTTGAGTTTTATTAGCACTGCTAGTAATTCTTTATACTTCATTAACAACATGGATGAAGAAATACTTCCATTGGCTTACTACATAGCTTTGCTTCTTCTGCTAGTCACATCTGTCTTTCCTTCCATCCTGCTTTGCGTAAAAAGTGGGTGTTTGTTTTTCAGTAGCATGTAGTTGATTCTGTTCTGGACCTTTTTTTTGGGTTTGCAAGAGTAATTGTCTACTGCTAATTGATGCCTTTGCTAAAACAAAAGCTATATATTCTAGCAGCACTAGAATGCTGCTGGTGAAATCATAGATATGTAATCATAAGTATGTCCAAGTGTAATAGGTGATGAAAGTTTGTGTGGTTTCTGAGAGACTGTAAATAGCTCAAGGGAAAATCCATTGAAGGTGTCTACAAAACAGGATACTTTCAGAGCACTGGTTTTATATTTTGCTGTTTTTATACTTGGATGCTTAGATGGTTTACAGCAAGAGCAGAGATGAGACAGGCTATGTGCTAGATGAACTTTTGATTTAACCTAGTAACGCTGCTCTTTTAGCTGTCTGGCAAAACAAAATTAAAATTACTTTTGCTCTTAGAAGCTTGCAAATTAATTTTACACTTTCTGGGTTTGTTTTAGTTTAAAATGATCAATTCACTTGCGCAGGGACCAGACCCACCTGGAGACACAGCAAAATTTATACAAGGTTTAATTGTATCCAATGTGAAAAGAAAAAGATCTTCTTGACAATAATGAATTTGAATTAAACTTAGAGCGCAGTAATGGCATTTTAATCATTCTAATGCTTTAGATGGGAATAGCTCTGGCATACTGTTTCTAGTACTCTGATGTGGGATTTAGGGCCATGTGAGACAAGCTTTGTGTTAGTGTCATCTGTATTTTATTCAGTGACTGCTCCAGCACTAGACTTTGTATTAGTGATGCACATTGAAAAATAAGTAATTTTAGCAGAGTAATTTTAGAATATCTGCCAGGAGTAATTAAACTTTTTATCAAGGCAAGGGGAGCCTTTAGGAATAGAACTCTTGCTGTAAGGAAGTAAATTTGAAATACAGCTGTGGCTTTCGATTATCACTGTCTTTTAATTTTACTTTGGGGCTTTTACTTTGTAAGGATGAATTTTCATTACAGGCAAATAATAATAAACTTTGTGTTTTTTAAAATACTGACTTTATCAGTAATACAAAATTGCACTGGGGAAGGTTTTGTTACTCTGGAGAGCTTTGGTCTGAGCCAGTCATTCCTATCAAGCCAGTTGTCTGAGAATGAAGTGCAGAAGCCAGAGTTGCCTCTCTATAGGGTTGATGCTGAGAGATTTTTGCTATAGAAGGAGAATGTTTTCCACAGGAGAAAGGATAATACTGGATGGGATATTGTAGTGATGTTTTGGGAACACTTTCTGGTAATATACACTATCATCTGCTTAAATTTGGACCTTGTGAGACTTCTGTTTTTTCTTGATTTTACAGCTTATAAAGTTTCCTATAATACAGTGTTCTCTAGATCTGACAAACTAATTTTAAATAAGCACCTCTTCAACTGTCAGTTGCTAAACAGATTTCTTTTTCTTTAAAAAATAAACCAAATTCTAGTTTAAGTGGCTGATGTCTCCGTCTTCCAAAGATGCTTTGAAAACTAAGCCAAAGAAAAGAACTATTGTCCTAGGAAGTGGTCGGAAAGGAAAAGCTACTATTCGGATTGGTAATTCTTTGTTTTTTCTGCCTATAGTACATTTTGTCTAGAAAATTTTATCTTAATGCTTAAGAGCTTAAATTAAAAAAAATGTATGAGGGCTCTAAATATTAGTGTTTTACAGAACATTTGTCTCCAAATGGAAAAAAAATGTTTCTTCTTAATGATATAATGCATCTTCTATTATCCTTGGTATCTGTAGGAAACTCACTCTTGTTTCTAGTGCTGCTAGAAACATGGCTGGAAAAATAGTAGGATATGCTGACTTTAAAATGTGTGGAAGCATTGCACATATTTATTCTGTATCTCTACAAGCTTTCACTTCTGCAAAGCTTGGCAGTAGTAAGTTGTCTAGTTCTCCTGCTGTTGTAACCTTTTTGTAGCAGGCTGTCCTCTGCCAGAACAAGTAAACATGCATTTTTTAACTGATGTACAAAGTGTTCTAAGACATTTTTTAACTTCATGTAAACCTATTATAAATAGTATGTTTAAAATAACATAGGTGTCTTGAATATTTATAATATAGTACTGCTACTCGTGATACTCAACATTTTTCAGCAAGCTACTAAAAATTTCACTGTAATACATTTCACTGTCTCTTGTCTTCACTCTAGTTATCTGGAAGCAGAGAGGTAAGTGATCTGGGTGGTAGTGGGAGGAAAAAATGCCTGGCAAATGTGGTTGTGGAGGGTTTTGTGGTTTTTTGTCTTTTTTTCTCTTTTGGGGGTTGTTTGTTGTGTGGGGGGTTTTTATGTGCTTTGGGATTGTTTTTTTTAAGAGAAGGACAAAGTCAAGGTGAAAACTATCCAGTTTATTATGTTCAGAATGAGTCGAGATTTTGAATCCTGTTAACAAAGTGATGCATTTCTAAACCATTACAAAATCAGTTATTGTACTGATCTCAGAAAAACAATAATCTGGATTCTCACTTGTTTAACTGTAGGAAATATAAGATGATTAGTTTTCAAGACTTACTGGTTTCTGGCTTAGAGAGAATGTGAGGCTCCTCTTGCCCTGATAAAAAGTTTAATTACTCCTGGTAGATATTCTAATGATGATCCACATTAGGTTTCTTTCTCAGTCTACTTTGATGCTGTATGATTTAAACAGCAAAATACCAGACCAGTAAACCCTACTTTTTCTTATTATTGCTCTGAAAGGAAGAGATTGCTGGTGTCCTATACCAGTGATCTGCATGAGTATCAGCTTTATTTTTAATTATTTTGCCCATAAACAAATTAATGTTCTTCACTCTAAAGCCATTAGAGGGCAATTTGAAACACATAGATGCCTGTACTTTCTGTGGTGGATGGTCTAAAACCCTCTAAGCTCTTCTGCTACAAAGCTTTGCCTCCTTTTTTGAAAACCAGCTTGTCTTGCATCAACCTAACAGCAGTTAAGTATACCATCTTATAATCTCAAGATTTTGGATCAAGTTTTTTTGTTTTTTTTTTTTTTTTAGCAAAATTAGACTGAATGGCAGATTTCCTACAGTCCTTATTTATCACATAGAAAATTTTATGAACAGTAAGCTGTGAATTCGCATTTGAATAATAAGGTATCATGAATTCTCTTTTTTTCTGGTCTTGCTCTTCAATTCAGGATTATCATCTAAAAAATCTGTAAGTCCTGGGAAGAAAAATTCTACTGTGAGAGAGAGTTACTCACCAAAACCACTACCACCAGGCACAAAGGGCTTCCTTCCTTGGCGGACTGCAGAACGTGCAAAGAGATACAGGTGAGATTTTCATAGTACAAGAGAAAATACTAAACCATAAAATTTGCATGATAAATACAGTAGAGAGCAATGTTAGCGTTTTAAAATATGATTTGAAAGTTATACACAGAATGTTGTAACTGTTGTCAGAGTTTTTTCTATTTATATAAATTTTGAGGATTTTACATAAATTCTTCTCTAGTAAGGATTTAAAATACACAAAAATGCATGATACCCACTCATATGCAGCAAAAAACCCCACCACAACCAAATCTACCTTCTCTGCTTGTTCTTTTGTTAATTATGATTTATCAAATGTATCATAGCTGAAGAGGCACATTTAGCATTCTAAACTTTTAGTATAGTTGGGTTGAGATCCAGTCCACGGTGCTTAGGTATTTTCCTGCCTCTTTTTACTGCTTCACCCCACTCAATACCAGCATAATTATTGTGATCATCTAAGAGCGGTAAATTAAAATAAAACTGAAAAAAACTTACACATGAAAGCTGTCTTTTGAAACAATTCTTGTTTGTTTTAGTTTTTTAAATCCATTCCCTAGATCTTGGCCTCTCAAAATGGAGACTATATAACTATTTAAACAAAAAAAATTTCTTAATGCTATATTGCAACTGTGGTAATTAAGTTTGTTTTTCAAAATACTGAACACCAAATTCTCCTATTGACTTTAGTTCAAAATAATTAACTAAGCAAGATGCCTATTGAAGATATTAATGTTAGCATCCAGTAGTGTTGCTCTAAATAATGATTAACTAGGGAGTACTAATCAAAATGAGAATGTAATGAGGATTAAAGGGATGTAGTGCAGTGTCTGATGCTGTTTATTTACTCTTTCTGCTTCACCTGTCCTAGAATTTTGTGTTCGGAGCATTATAAACTTTCCTCAAAAGTATGGTTTTGATTTTTTTTTCTGAACTTCAGAGGCAGGGCAGCGGATTGTGCTGGGGAATTGCCATTGAAGATTCAGGTACTGTTTCTCTCACACACTGGTTTTATTTTAGTGGGTAGCTGCCTGAAAAAAAGAGGAAAATGTTCTCAACACATTCTCATTGTCTGAAAGCTAAGACTGGAACATACTTTTAAAGATTATCACTCATAGGAGTAAAAAAAAAGTAGTTTACATCAGCCTTTGGTTGAATCTTCTTTGATAGTTAGTTTTCTTCAATTTCTATCTCTGTATTTTTTGGGTTCTTAGTCTTAGGAGCTAGCTGAGTTGGAGTATATGCACAATCCCTCCATAGGCAGTAGGAATAACCCAACAGCATTTTTCTCTGAACGCTTTCTGCATCATCTTTCCTGACTTGGATTTGGATTATATGCTTGTTTTTGCACCTCTCTGTGAGCTGCTCTACCAGGAGAAGAAAAACCCCATCTGTCTTCCTTCTCCTTTGTATCTCATTTCTATCACAGAAGGATCTGATGGCTGCAGAAGCCACCAGTTGTCCTCTGCTCTGGTGTAGGCTTCCCATGGACTGCAGTCCTTTGGGAAAACTTGGGTATCATAGGATGCCTGTGGGCAGCAGCACTTTTGACCCATCCCTCTGCTCTGACACAGGTCTTCCCTGGCTGGAATGAGGGTATTGGCTCCACCATGGAACACCTCTTCCTGCTCCCAGCCTCATGTTCCCTCTGCTTTTTCTCACTCTTTTTGTTCCCACCTCTTGTGCTTGTCTGGCATTTTATGCCTTGCAAATGGTCAGCTGAGACTGGCTGTGTCCTGTGTGGGGCAGTCCTGGCTGTGCCTTGCAGGGGTAACTCTGCTGCTAAATCCTCACCACAAATACTCAACATAGGCACACATAGAATTGGTTTTTTCAATATTGTTTTATGCAAATTTATTTCATAGATGTATGGCTGGGCAATGTGTATACATTGTAAAGGACTCTGGGAAACAACTGTATTTAAATTAAGCTTTTGATATGATTTAATCTTGATTTTTGCTAAACATTGTAATGCTATGAGTGGGCATGGTTTTCTTTTCTGGTGTAACTAGACAGCTGTACCTGTGAAAGTGACACTAGAACGTGCTTCTACATCTGAAACTGAAGACACAGAAGATTTAGAGGATGTTGTCCAGCAGACTGGTTTGTTGAAATCATTAGATGATAAGACTGATGTAGCACAATATCAACAGTTACAGGTAAGAAGCATGTTCAGTGCCTTAGACTCCATAAAGACAAATTATATAAGTTAAACTATGTTTTATTCAGAAAATTATAATAAAACAAATAACCAGTTTTGGAGCAGGATTTCAGAATAACTTAATACAGCTGCAGTATGTGTAATTTCTCTGTTCCAATCTTGCATCATAGTACACAGATCTTTTGATTGATGTTATTGCCTGTAGTATTTTCTTTCAAGTATTTCCTTTATAAAAGTAATTTAGTGTTATTTCTAAGAATTAAAATATAGAAATGACTGTTGTTTAAAAATAATTACAGAAATAGCTGAAAATGTTTGAATTTCATTTTATAATTGAACCTAGTAAACTTTTTTCATCTGCTTTTTATTATTCCTTCTACTTCTTTGATACTTAAAAAACTTAGCTGGTAGTGAAACAGACTATTTGTGCAAATATCTTGATTGGGAATCTTATAAAAGAAAGGGGTGCAGAAAAGGTGTATATCAGTGGCTCTGTAATGCTGCTGAGGTAATCTAGCACTATTATAAGGTAACACCCTCAGGCAGAATAAATGAGTTAACTGTTTTTAGTCTAAAGTGTTGAGATTTTAATTCTGTTCAGAGAAAGCAATGATTACTTCTGTAAACAAGATATACAGTCAGTCTGGATTTGCAGGTCATTGTCAGAGCACCATGCTGGGTGACTATGCTGTTTGTATGTCTAAATATTGGACTGTATATCTGTCTTTGTGTATGAGGAGTGAAGTTAAGTTAACTTGCTGTAGGTTTATTAGTAGTGGGAATGTTTCGGGTGGGATAGAGTTGTGGAAAGCAAAAGGACTGTACAAATACTGCATGAATAACTACCAGCCTTTTCAGCTGATGTATACTTTTTCTTTAGACCTTCTTCTCCCTAGAACTCTTGTTCAAGGTTTTCACATGTTGCTGGAAATTAGTTTTATAGCAACTTTTGCTGTTAGTGTGCAATGTATTGACATTGTGCTGTGTGATGGCTTCAACACTCTTACCAAGAGCACTTTGTCTGAAGTCATAGAATTCTATGTCATGTGTAAATTGCTCCAAAAACCTGTATGTAGGAACTACTGTGCTTGCAGAAAGCTTTTGATGTATTTATTCTTGCTTTTTGGAGAGGGAAGAATATTATATTCATAAGACACAGCAGAGGCATGCAGTGTTTTGTGCTCTGGGGGAGGGTTGTCATACTGACCACTAGGATGTCATATTGACCATACCACAGCTAACACATCGGTGTTAGCTGTACTACTACATGTAGGGCAGCTATAAGGAAGAGACAATTTATGATTAATTTCAACTTCTTTGTAGAGAAACCCACAAATTTTGGTAACCTACCCCAAAGTTTTGATTTTTGTGTGCTTGTAAAGGTCCAGATTTTCATGACTTTCTGAATTTGAAAACCAAAATACTTTTTTAGGCCATGGTTGCTTATCAGATAGCACCAATTAAGCAATCTGCACCTGATTCTGTGCCTCACCCGTTGTTTTTGTTACATTCACAAAAAGCAGGTTTCACATTACAGCAGAATCAAGCTATCAAATTGGCCCCGCTGAATTGTCTCTTTTCCCTCTCTCTCTTAGCCTTTGCATTTCTGGCTTCAGTCTTTTTCTCTTGTGCCTTTTTTAACATTTGTCTGATCATAAGACTGTCATTAAACAGCTGTTACTGTGCAGTGGCTTGTGAGGGGACATGCCTTGAGGAACTAATCCAACTGAAAAGTAGTCCAGTGTATTTGGTGGTAGCAGACCTTTCAGTTAATGGGACTACCAGTTGTGTTAGAGCAACAATGGGAATGCAGAGTAGGAATAAACAGTAAGGGGTGGGAGTTCCTTAAACTGCTGCTTTGTCAACAAAAAGCTCTCCAGGCATCTCTTGATGTGACTGAAGGACCAGACTTTCACTTAAGTATGCAAGTTTTGGAGAACTTCCCTACATCCTTCTGCAGAAAAAGGGGCTTTAGGCATACTACTTAATATAAGTAGTAGTAGTATTTAGTTGTGTTTTCATAAAAAAAAGAAAAAAGCCCTGGCTAGTGAAAGCCTAGTATCTGCTTAAATGAAAAATGAAAATTGATAATTGATAAATATTCTCTCCTTCCACTAGAGGGAATCAAATGTCACAGTTGGTTTTAATGAAGTATGTACTTGAGGTAACTCCCATACTTTTAAATTTTAACTAGGGATTTAACTGGTGAACTTTCCCCTGATTAGTTATCAGGGCAACTCTTTCTACATCTCACTACTTTGTGAATTGCAAAGAAGTAGAGATTACACTGTAACTTTTTTTAAAGTATGATGCAGTCAAATAAAAGAACATGGCTGATCAGTTACTAAATTTTTTTAAATATAATTTTTTAAACTTCAGTTTTGTACCTCTGTCTAGTGTTGAACCAGACATACTGCTTATGGTAATTCTAAGGACTACCTCTATTTTTGATATTCAGTTTCATCTTAAAGTCTATCAGTGTTATCCTTCTGGGCTGTAATACTTGAAGGCTTAGTCTTGTAGCTTGGATGTACATTTACCTCTCTGATATCAATTTTAATATTTTTTTTCTTCACAGATACTAGGGGGTTGTGTAAACTAGTGAATTTCTTGAAAGCAAATCAAAGATTAAAATGTACATATAGTTGTAACATAATGGTGACAAATCAGTTTCCTTAAATGCTGGCTTTGCTACTGCTTATGAGGAGATGCAATTGCAGTGTTCAGTTTTGTTATGAACTCAGTCTATAACCATGAAATACTATGTACATATAGAGTGTGATAAATCAAGTTTAAACATCACTGCAAAACATCTACATTTCTGTTTAAAAAATTGTAATAATTTGATTACTGTCTAAGCCATTGACCTTTAGCATTACAAATCAGCAATTTGAAGAAAAAGGTCAGGCGCTTTCATCTTTAAAATTATCTAAAATCCATCCACAACAAAAATACTAGAGAGCTATGGTTTCTAAAGTAGAGTTCTAGCCTGCATCCTAGAAACTTCAAAATATGAATGATTATACATGTGCACATGCACTATAAATGGAAAGGTAAGAATTCTTCAGTCTGTGATAGCTAATACTGGTCTTCAAAGCTAGGCTGGGGGACTGTCAAGTTGTCAGTGCAGAACATTACGGTTTCTACTTTCTGTGCTGTGCTTCTGTGTAAGTAGAGGTTTTGTAGCTCCCAATTATTTCCACATCTTCAAAGATAGATGGCAGTAAGATTATGATATTTGTGGATGGTTCTCCTTAGATATTTGCCCCCCACCCTGTGCCTGCAGGTTAGACATAGTGCTAAATCTGCTTTGATGCTCAAATAGGAGTGTGATAAAAATATGACTATAGTTTTCTACTTGCAGCGTTTGCTCCGTTGATACTAGTCTAGGGATTTTAGGAGTGGGCTTCAGTGGAATAGTGACAGACTGGTAGTCATCACTTGGAGTGGGTGTAGAACCTGCATCTTGGAACCAGTTGCAAAAGTACCTTGCAACTTATAACACCTTTGCATTTGTAGAAGGTTTATTTTTACTGTGCTTTCTGTTGCACACTAGTTTTCCCAGTTGGTTACTTATATGAAGTGCAGTAGTATGCATTGGAAAAGCTTTTACTAGTAAACAAACTATTTCAGTACTACTTGAATCTTTGATTATCCTTAGAACTGGTTGATATGGTGCGTACAAAATGCAGTGTCCTTTTACGTGTATGTGCTTGTACACAAAGTGAAATGGAGAAGTTTTGTATACTGTTAATTTGTGTAGTCTAATCTCTGAAAAATAGAATAGTGTGATAATTCAAACAGTTTTCACCTTTTAAATCAGAAGATTGTTAAGGTGTACAAGAACAAAAATTCTTTCTTGTTTTTCTAGTTCAGATGCTGTAATTAAAGACAATAATGCTCAGCTGGGATGCAAGAAAATGTGGTATTGCAAATCTTGACTGCTCTTACTGAAATTGAGATTTTAATTAAAATACAAGTTTAGGCATCTTATGAATAAGACTAGAATAAATTTTATTAGGTGTTTTGCATTTGTTTTTATTCTTGTTAACTCAACACTAACCTTAGAATTGTGAAAAGCTTTTTATTGAAGGGCTAAGTGAAACCAATTAGAAAGAGTACAGTTCTTACATTTCAGAATTTAGCATTCTGACTATTTAGAGTACAGTTCTTCAGAATTTTGTATTCTTACAATTATAAGAAGGGATAAAGGAAGGAATAAAATCCTGGCTAAGGAGTATAGTTGGAAAATCTAGATATGGCTGCTTAGGATTTCTTGTTAGAGCCCAATTTGAGCTTTATGATGTAAATATACTTAGTTAAAGATGATGCTTGAAAAAATGAAGGGTAAGTAGAGAAGAACATATGTTCTTGATGGTTATGTCATAGACCAAAAAGACTTGGACTGTAATTTGATGTGATCTGTTGCAGTCTTACAAATCTGTTAAGTGAATAACACTTACTTCTACTTCTCTGTCTTAATATTTTGCATCCTAGATGGTCTACTGGTAGGCCTCTGTCTTGTATTTTTGAAGAAGGTATGTTTGGAATACCATTTGCTAGCTGTTAAGTTTTTTCTTATTGCATGTTAATCTGACATTTTGAGATAAATTTCATTATAGTTTATCTGTGTTTTGGTAGTTGGAGCTGGAAGAATGCATGGAAAAACTAAAGGAAGAACAGAAAGCTAGAGTAAAGGCTGAGGAACGATTACTAGAGGTAAAGATACTTAACTATTGACGATATTTACTTTTAAAGGAGGCACTGCTCAGAGAATGCACTTGCTTAGGGGTAATTATCAATGACTGCTAATGTGGTAACTTCCAGATTTTCAGTTCAAAGTCACGTGGATCGTTTACTGTTCTTAAGGGCAGTGATGAAATCTGTGTTTAGTAATGTTTGTTCTACTGATTCTGTTCCAGAGCCTTGAACTCCAGCTCAAGCTGCTCTTTCAATGTGTTTTATTCATTTTCTGAAACACTTATGATCTGGGACATCCTGATACTTGCTTTTCTCAAGAAAGTGATTAAATCTATTTGGAGTATGTACACATAGATAGTTCTTTGTCTCCCAACTCACTAACCATGATTTGTGCTGAAAGCTGTGTGTCGCAACTGTTGTTCAGTTTGGTTTATTCTGTACCTTTGATTTTTAAGTTTTATTTCTGCAGGCATTAACCATATTGGATGGTTTTCTGCATGTCACTTGTTGTGAAGTGCAGTTCAGTTTTGACAAAACTGAACAACTTACCACAGTTGAATTGTGAGGTCTGTTTCCCCTCTGCTGTTGCTGACCTAAAAATATTCTTCTGCATGAATAAACAGAATTTCTTGTTATGTAGTTGAGTGTAAGGTAGTGTAAGCAAAGGGATTTGGTCCTTACATGTGATTTGGGGGAAGTGAAAGCCGTGATATCCTTTGAAATATTAGCAACAGGTGATACCCCACAGCAGATACCCACAAAGAACTCCCCACTTCTCAAAGACAGATTGTAGCCCTCTTGTGTGACTATCCCCATCTTCCTGTAATATGATGTGCACCATTGGGCTCTGCTACCTGTCTGTTGTTTAGATCCTTAAAAGCTTTTTAGGCTGAACACCCCCTACAAGAAATCTTCCTCTGTCAAGGGTAGGCTGGTTGGATTTAGCACCGTGAACCAGGAGATGGAATAAAACAAGTAGCATTAATCTCTAAAAGTGTTTATTTTGTTCCTTATTTATCACCTACAGTGCACTTCAAAATCTGTAATTTTTTCATCCTCTCATAAAAAATAAAAGACAGAAAGCCTGTGTTAGTACTTGATTGCATAGCTGTAATCTTCAATGAGTGAGTTAATGCTTCCCTCGAACACAAAACCGTGTATATCCTGTAGTGATCGTGCAGTTTTCAGTTTCATCATCAATTTGATTACTGGTCGTTGTGGAGAAGATTGAATAATCTTAAACTTTCAGTTTTGGGATGCACAGTGCAGGGGAGAATTAACAGTAGTATGCATAATACCCCCAACATAGAGGGGTGAATATAAGGCGGGCATTGGCCTTCATTAAAGTTTTTAATGGTCAAATAAATTCTTTGGTGTTAACATGTCATATAATACATACAAAGTAAAACAATATGGAAGCTAAATTTTTCCGCTTGTACTTGATCTGTAACATTCTGTACATATTGAAGACAGTGCTAAGCCAGTGGCTTTGAGTGCCTGCAGGAATATCTATGGAAGCATAGAACTGCATCTGTGGATAAGCAGACCTGCACAGAGCTCATGCAACAGTGCCCTGAAAGTGTGTGGTACAGCAAACTCTGCATCTTGTTACATCAGTTGTGATGCTGCTGTTTAGGCACACAGGTGAGGTTTGATATTTTGGGGTCTTTTAAACTGAAAATGAAAGAAATTTCTTTTTTTTTTTTTTTTCCCTGCATAGCTGGAAATTGAAAATGCAAGATTAAGGAGTCTAAATATCTCCCTATCCGAGGTTCTTCATGCACAGTCAGTAACCAACATGATTTTGGAAGATGAAGGTGTTCTAGGCAGCATTGAGAACTCTTTTCAAAAGTTTCATGCTTTTTTAGACCTCCTTAAAGATGCTGGGTAGGTTGTCACTTTTAGTCTTGCTGTTTTTCCTGAGATCTTTTCAAAATTATCCTCACAATGAAGTATGCTGCCTGCTACCCTGCCAGATTTCTAGGTGTGTAGTCTGAGAGAGCAAAGGAAAATAAATTAGCCATTTTTAAAATAAATGACCAATGTTTAAATAAATTACCTATTGTTTAGTCTTTTCCTAGTGGCAAAGGCATGATCTAAGTACTGTTCAGCTAAGTTCATGCATCTGTCTTCAGGAAAGGCTTTCAAGAAGCCTATTCCAAAAGAGTAGAAAGCTTCTCTTAAAGCCTCTTTCCAGGTCTTTAGTGAATCACCTTTGGCTCTTAACATTCCCACAATATGAAAGGCTCAAAATGCAGTTGAACTGCCTTCAGACAGTGTCCTGTTACCTTGTGCTCTCCAGTCACAAACTGAAGTATGGAAATCTACATGGGATTTGTATCTCCAGGCTTTGTATTTTAAGTCTGTATTTATTGTTACTACTAGTAGTAATAGTAGTAGTAGTAGTACTACTACTACAGAAAATTGATTGAAATTTGTATTACCACTGTATTTGCAATTTGTCAGAGGATGGTTCATCCTTCCCATTTTTCAAAGAATTTCAGCTTGAACCCAGCTTGTAAAGTTTGTATGACCAAGCGTGGCAGTCTCATCCACAAGAATGGAATGATATGAATATGCATTGTAGTCTACTTTGTGGATTCAGAGAAGATCATAGAAGACTTTATTTGCCCTCCCTATCTCCCACTTGCAAATTGTAGTGATGTAACTCAGGACCTAGGTGACAATGGCCTCAAGTTAAGCTAGGTGAGGTTTAGAAGGGACATAGAAAAAATTTCTTCCTGAGAGTGTCGTCAGACATTGGAATAGGCTGCTCAAGGATGTGGTGAAATGGCCACCCCTTCAAGTGTCCAGAAAACATCTTGATGTGGTGCTTAGGGGACATGGTTTAGTGATGAACCTAGCAGTGTTAGATTAAAGGCAGGAATTGATAATATTAAGAGGTCTTTTTCAACCTTAATGATTCAATGATTTTCAACTTTAATTATTCCATGATTCAATGATTCTCACTTACTGTAAAGTTCACCATGAGGCTTTGTTTTAATTTTTGTGACAATTGGTTTGTAGAGTTGCCATTACTACAGGAGTTTCAGATTTCTCAGGAAGGGAAAAATGCAATTTCACTGCATGAAAAAAGTTTCGTTATATCAGCCCTATGTCTATTCATAGTAAATAAGGATCTTCACTGAGCATTACAGGATCCCAGTCATGAAGAATGCTCTTCTCAGTAAGCTTCTTTTTATCATATGCTATGCTATCAGTTAATGACTGCAGCTTTTTACTGAGGCTGAAAACCCACATGTGATTGATTTGGCCAACTTACAAGCTGGCAGGTGACCCAATATCATTGTATTTGTGAAGCTTGACATTGACATGTCAAGAAATTATGCGATTTGGAGATGTGCATCAATTTCTGCTTGAATGGACAGAGTTTTAATCTTTGTTCTGCCTGACATGGAATCTCATTGCCAGTATGCTGCTCTGAGTTCAGTGCTAACTAGAGAACTTCATTCTCAGCCTTGTAACACTTGTTTTGATTCTGCAGGCTAATTTGTGCAAAGACAAGAAAATACCTTCAGCTGCTTGTTTTTGTCTTAGTTAAGATACTCTGAGCTTCACTTAAAGTAATAGAAAACTATGTTCAAAGCTTTTAACAGATTCTGCTTCTGGTTTTGAATGTTGAGTCTTTCAAAAAGTAAGAATAGTTTATATATATATTTATAAAAATAGTGATTTTATATTAAACATTTACCTTACAGGCTTGGACAGCTTGCTGTATTAGCTGGGATAGACCAATCAGATTTTGGTATTTTGGGGCATCCACAAATGAATGCTACTCTCAGTAAGCCTGTGAACGTGGTAAAGGAGAAGTCTTTTGAAGAAGAAAGACAGGAACATACCGAGAATAACAAAGTAAGTCTTTATAAGGAATGCTAGAGGCAATTCTACTTTATACTCTTTAATGTACTTTTTAGCTGTTAATCCCCCTCTGATTCTTGAAATTATTACTGCAACCCTTTGCTGTAGCTGCATTTATACAGATCATAATAATTCGGTGATTAGTGTAAGCTTTTAAAGTGTTTACCACTTGGAGCATGAACTGCAGTACTTTGTAACATATTAAGCTTTGGTGATAATTCTGTTGTTTCCTTGTCTGAAATAGGAAATTCCAGTAGTGGAATGCATCCATTCAAATTGGAAAATACCATGATAAGGTTTCTTAGAAACATTTACTAATGAAGTATAGTATTTTGAAGAACCCTGGTCTTATAGGAAAGGCTATACAATGTACCTACTGAAAATCATAAATTTTCTTGTAAGTAATTATAGTGTATGTGTCCGGTCCTGTTAGATTTCTCTGCGGCCATGACATGAGCTTCAGGCAACTACAAATTTGTAATATTTGTAAATATTGCATAAAGTTTGACCTTCTACTCTGTGAATTAATAGTAAACCATGCGGATTTTTCAAAGGAGATATTAAAATTTCTGTAACAAAGAAAAAAAAAAAAACAGGCTTTTTTAAAGGCTGTTAAAAATTTAGATACTGGAGGCCTATAGCTATGTCCAAATTGAATAAAACTGTTGTACCAAGAATCAGTCTACATTCCAGTGTGTTTCTTATATCCAAAGTCTCCTACTCTATTTTAATTTCCTCAAGAACACATGAGATCCTTAAATGTAATGTTAAAAATTTGGGGGTTGTTTTAACAGTGTGGAGAGAATTTTCAGTTTTGCAGTTTGAAGACTCTTGTTCTTGCCTCCCAATACTGGTGATTAGTTTGGGTTCTTGTAACAGGTAGGTGTTGTGGTATAGAGTGTTGAAACTACACTGCTGTGAATTGCTAGTAAACATAAAGAATTGCAGGTTTTTTGGGATGATAGATGTGATTAAGTTTTGGCTGCTTTTGTTAACTGATGCATCTCTGGTATAGATTTGAAGCTAGATGTGAAACTGTAATGTGCCTACTCTGTGTCATTATCACCCTAACAATCTTCAGAAATCTGTTTTGGAAGGTGATAAAGATCGTTCAATTGCTATTACTCTGTCTCTTACGTCTATTAGGTAAAGACTCTATTTTGCTCTGCAGACTCCAGTATATGTGGCAGTTTCAAAACCGGCTTTTTTTTCCTTTTTCCTTTTTTTTTTTTTCTTGTCCCTCTCCTCTAGTTGCCTGTCTTTTCATTGGAATCTTTTGTTTCAGAACAGAGGTGGAGACATCCAACTTCCTCTTCCTGGCACATTTCAATCCCAGATGGTTGTGAATAATGCCTTTTCATCACTTAAAGAAAAGAGAGAACTTCAGGCTGCTGGACAGCAGTACCAGTCAGGTTTGTGGAGGGAAAATGAAGCTCAAACAATTAACCAAAATAAAGAGAATAATCCTCGAAGTAGTACTCCAGTATTATCTGAGAGAAGAGTCAAACAAAATGAACAAGTAAAAGGACATCACTCAGCAAGGCAGTTGGCTACCAGTCTGCATTCATTTGCTGATTCCAGTGTACAAATTAGAAGTGATGATAGCAGAATATCCAATGGTATTCCTGGTGAAAAAAGCAAAAATTATTCCTCTAAGAAACACATTCCTCTAGCAAATGAAACAGCAGCTCCAAGTAACGGAGTGAGAGGAGACAAAAGTAGACTGCAGACAGTAAGTGTTAGCTCTGGAACTGATACTGTAGGATCTGTCTCTGAAATACAGGAAAGTATACCAAGTGTTAACAGCATTTGAAGTGGTTCTAAAATGTTTGAACTGTTCTTTGCACTTGCAAGATTATGTTTTGGATGTCTCAGTATAATGAGTGAATTTTTTTGTAAAATTTTGTAGACTTGGACTTTTTAAAGCATTGCATACTGCTCAGTATTCCTGTTACATGCTTACATTCTTTGTCGCTAGATTTTAGTTTTGAAAACATGTGATGCAGCTAAAATGGTACCCATGAGTTTGTACTACGCACGAGGGACTCAACATACAGATTTCATTATCACAGATTTTTGAGATAATAAAGTTAATTTGAATACAGTTTTTTCCTAGTGTTTATTTTCAGTGTATTTCAGTGGGAGTGCAGAAATGGTTTTGGGGCAAACATCAATTCCTGCATAACAGTGTGTGAGTATGACATTCCAAAAATTAGCAGAAGTTTCAGAGTCAAAAATGAGCCCATAAACATTGCTATAGGAAACCTTTAAATACAGCCATCATTAGTGCTATGACTGTAGATCATAGAATAGCACATGCTGGAAGGGCCTTCTGGAGGATGTGTAGTCTAACTCAGATTGCTCTCAGGATCTAGAGAAATGTGAGAATGTAAAACTAAGAGAATTATCACTGTTTTAAAACTCTGGGATTTAGTCCCGGCATCTTGTTCTTGTCCTTGTGCACAGGCAGCTGGTTTGCTGCTTCTGAACTAGAATATACTTGTTACATACAGGAACTAGACAGGATGATTTAGCCTGAACTGGGAGAAAAAGCAGCCCATAACTATTTTTCACTCAGTCATCTGCTATGTGATTTCTGGAACACATAGGATCTGTAGAAGTTACTGACTCCAGTTGCGTGACAAATATGAAAAAACTCATGAATCCTCAAATTCAATCCTACAGAGCAAATAGCACAAGATTACCTTAGCTATTGCAGTATTGCACAAATAATTGCACAATGAAAGTATGTTCTTTGTACAGACTTTGTCATTTCAGAATATTAGAAGGTAATATATTAATCTGTTATTTTTCACATATTTTCCCAACTGCTTGTCTGATTTTTCATTCATTCTTGGTGATTTTTGTCTGACTGAACAATTACTTGCAATCTGTAATATTCAGCAGTAAAAAGCTACCTATTCCCTTTTTAAAATGTAAAATTCTAAAGCTAATCACTGAGAAATACTGGATAAAATTATAAATTCAGAAGTGTTTTATTTGTGAGGTTAGGAGTTAGGAATCTGTTACTTGTCCCTAAAAATACCATGAAGAACTTAGAATAATTTATATATTACATGCCCAAAAGCAGGTGATATTTAGTATCTTTCATGTTAAATACTTGCTTTTCAATATTTGCATTTAGAGTGTGAATTACATCAAAAATCATCTTTTAAAGCAAAATTGACCAAGCAGTTTGCAATTTAGATGGGCATACTTTTTTTCAGTGGATTAACCTTTTTTTTTAAACTTAATGTTTTTTTTCCTGTCAAATCAGAAACATGAAGGATTCTTTGTGTTACTGCTGCTATGGTATTGCATTCTCACTGTAAGAATCTGTACTGCATACTTTATATATAGTTGGATCTGAAATTGGCAGAGACATTTGATTGAAGCTGCCTGGGGAGAAGTATTTTTTTTGAGGGTGTCGTGAATACATCAGAACTTCCAAGGTTTTTTCTAACAATTTAAAAACTCATTTACAAAAAGTATTTTACACATATAAACATATATATTCTATATATATTTAACAATGAAGTATTCTAATAAAAAGAAAAAATATTTTTATTTTAAATTTTTGGGAAACCATTTTCTACCCTGAGTTTTGGAATAGAAACAGTTTCATTCTCTTGCTATTAGTTAATGTTTTACATAATTGTCTGTGTTCTTGTTTGACCTAAAAGCTTGAAATCAATAGGCCAACTATTTGCTAGAGAACATGTTACTGTTTACTCATAAAGCTCAATATTTTTTCTCTTTTCACTTAGTCTTCTGAAGACCTACTCTTCACAGTTCAGGACTTCGATCTCTGAAAAACAAAATAAATAGACCCAAACCATTGTTTGAACCACCAAAGTGTAAGGTTTCACCAAAATTTGCTCATCTCACTAGTTTGCTGGACCAGACATCCCAGCTGCCTCCTGAAACGCTTGCCAGGTTGCTATGTAGTCAGCATTATTTATCTTTTAATAATGACGTCCATTTGTGGTACCAGACAGAACTCATGTACGTATGCTCTCCTTGAGTGAGCTGATTCTTTTCCAGCAGTAGTTGATCAAGGTTTTGCTGTCCAGCATAACATGAAGTCACAATGAACTTAATAAAAGTTCATTGAAAACTCTGAAGACTTATTTACACTTTTAATCTGTCTTGGTTTTTCCAGTTATGCATCATAATAAATACTGCTCTCTTTGCTTTTGTGTTAATTACACAAATCCAGGTTCATCTGCATGGACTGATGGCACTTGAAATTGTGGCACTTGAAATTCTCAGTCAAATGGTAGAAATCAGAAGCATTCCTGGAAATTGTGGTTTTGAAAGCTTATATTGAGTGACTATGAATATTGGTATGATTCCATGATAGAATTCATGGGTTTTGATGTAATTGAAACATGAAATCGTAATTGCTGCTGGCAAAATACTAAAATAGGAGAAATCTCAATCCAATACAAACAAAACTGTAATGAGACCTGTACTGTTTCTCTTTATTCTTTCCATCTGCAAAAGCATAATGATCCCTTGTCCACAGCAAAAATTTCACATTTATACATTCTTTCCAATTTTATATACTTCCCATCAATGCACGGTATGAAGAGGGTTTTCTAAAGCTTCCCGGTGACAAGGCTTCCAGTGGAGTTGTCCTCTGATCTCGTGGGAGCTGCTATTTTTGACCCTTCTGGTCAGGATAAGACTCCTGTGAACTGAAACTCCAATACTGGTACTTCCACCAGTGCTCTGAGCTGATACCAGCAGTAGCTTGCTGTGTTTCTATTTTCATAGTGTTTCATAGTGTTTCTAGCTCTTTGTGTCAGCATTTGAGTACATTTTTAACTCCAAAGTTTTAATTTCCCTTGTGCCACACAGTTAGGATTCAAGACTGATCTGGCAGGATGTTGAAGCACTTTCTGTAGTAGTAGGCAGGCTTCATGACCTGAATCCCCAACCTACACTATTTCTGATTGCTTCCACTACTCCTTACTACCTTGGATACCATTTTCCTAGCCAAACTGGAGTTTTAAATTGCCTGTCTAGGCCTACACAGGTACTTCAGATTTAATACTGGAAAAAGCCTATATGAGACACCTGTGTCTTTTGATCTTGCTTCTACCTATAGATACTAGTAAAAATAATTAAAATTTTAGTCACATCTATGTTGTTATGGATCTCAGTAGTAGTTTCTGTTTAATTATAACTAAGAAGTAACACAGTTGTTCTTGGTATTGTGGTGTGAGACATACTTTAACAATACCTTGGTGTTTTAAGATAATGTATCCAGCCTGTGTTGTATGTGAAATTCGCTATTATCTCTTAAGAATTCTGGTGTCTGAAAGCAATTTTGATCGATTTTTCTTAAGCTGTAGCTATCATTGAAATGAAAGTTATCTTTGCTCTAATACCAATGTTTCTGTTTACAATTTTTTGAACAAAACAACTTCCTTAAGATGAAAATCTTTCAACTAAATACCAGATCAGGCTGTGGTCTATAAATTCTTTTTGTGCTTCCAGGTATCACCTGGCTTGACAGGAAAAGGAACAAATTCACATAGTCGGTATTTCTTCAGTGAAACAATTGGTAATGAAAAATAGTATTTTATATACATCTCAGAATTCTCAAAATAACACACATCAATACTTGCAGTTTTCTCTACAGATGATTAATGTTGATGATAAGCTTGGTGAAGACCCATGAGACTAAAATAGGCCAGCGTTACAGGAAAGGACTGGGCAATCTGATGTGTTCAAGAGCTGTGCTTTATACAGCTACATATGAGAATTGTGAATCTTGCCCAATATACTTGGAAATTATGGGGCTCTGCAATGCCCATTTCTTTTCAGTCATACTTCATGGCTTGCTTTGTCAAAATTGGTTTACTGCTACTGCCTTTAAAATAACTTTGAAAACTGACCTGGGCAGAATATCCCTGCCTGAAACAATTGGAAAACAGAATGAGTTAAAAGTCTCTTTCTCTCAATTACAACAGTTCAGTTGTACTACCTCTGTATTTTCAAATAATCAAGATGCTGCAGATCTGTTCCATAGATACCTGTGGGAGGAATGCTTTAGTACTCAGGGATATTAACCTAGGATTTGGCAAGCCTCAAGGCAAGTCCAAGCTATGCTATCCATTATGTGAAGGTGATCAAGTTTCACAGCTCTCCTGTTTTTACTCTCTGATGAAATTTAAATAGCAATTTGCCTGCAACAGACTTTCTGGGGAAATTGCTCAACATGTGGACACTTGTTGGCTTATAGAAGGCTAAGATCCTCCTACTCTACAAGGCAAGTAGTTCACACAAAATAATAGATCTGGGTACTGTAAACCCATCTCTTTCAAGACGAATCACAGAAACGGTCTGGTTGGATAAAGTGAGTGATCTCCAGCTTCACAGCTTTATCAGGGACATACTAGAATACATTGCACAGGATTGTACCTGGGTGATTGTCTCCAGTGAGGGAGACTCCACAACCTCTCTGGACCACGTGTTCTAGTGCATGGTCACTTGTACAATTAAGTTCTTTCTTAAGGTAAGTAAGGTGGAACTTCTGTACATCAGGTTCTGTCCGTTGCCTCTTGTCATTTCATATGAAATATGAAGGATCTCCTAAAATTCACTGTAACTGTGGGTCGCTGCTTTTTAAGTCCTCACGCATTCACCCAGACTGCTTTGGGAACAAGCATCCCAGCGCTGCTACAGCACCCGCGTGGGGGAAAAGCATAGGCAGGAAGTTACAGTAGGATGTGCATTCACCGTGTGTGCGCGTGTGTGTGTTTCTCTGTGTGTGTGTCTGTGTCTTTCTGTCTGTCTGTCCGCACGCCCACTCAGCGTGGGCGGCTGCATCAGCCAGGGCTCGTTGCGCTGCTTGCGGGGGACGCGCCACTGTGGGGACCCCGCGGAGCGCCGCGGGCGCCCCCTGGCCCGCCCGGCCCGGCCCTCGCACCGCCCCTCCTCCCCTCACAGCGCCTCCCCTCCCCTCACACCGCCTCTCCTCCCCTCACACCGCCTCCCCTCACGCCGCCTCGCCGCGGCAGCGCTGCCAATGGGCGGCCGGGACAGCGGTGGAAAGTGCCTGCCCCAGCGCCGCGGGTTTATAGCGGAGGGGCTAGT